TTCTCCTGGGTCAACAGCTTTCAACTTACCAATCATTTTTTATTCTATAAGAAATCTATTGAAATTCAAAACAATATACTGGAAAAGGAACTGTTGAAAAAGGAGAGAAGAGATGACAGACAATGTTAGCAATTCCATGATCTAAACATCTGGGCTTTGGTTTCTCTTTAAATAAGCTTGGCTATTCAGCCAGAAATGTATGTTGGCATAAGTTGTGTTTACTGGCTGAGATAACTTGGAAAGTGTTGTTAAACAGTACCATGAGAAACAGCAGGAGTCTACTCATGCCACAGCTTAAACTCGACCACCTCACCAGAAATGGGTTTAGATAGTTTTGAAACATGAAGCTGTTACAAGAGTTTGAGTAAGATCGTACTTTTCTCAACACTGTCGGGCTCAATACAGGGTCGTAAGATACTGGGCACTCATCAAAGATCAACCTGAGATAGTGTCTGTGGGTTAGTTCTCTTGTGCCAACAGAAATTAAAGACACAGAATCTTGTAGGACATGTTCCATTGGAACAATGGAAGCATGTAGTTGGAGTTTTCTCCAGTCCTGTCTGGCCCACTGTCAGGACAAATCTCTCTCACCCGCCAGTCCTGCAGCCGCTCAGACCCAACCAGTAAACACACAGAGACTTATATTACTTATAAACTATATGGCTGTGGCAGGTTTCTTGCTATCTAGTTCTTATATCTTAAATTAACCCATTTCTATTAATCTATACCTTGCCACGTGGCTTGTGGCTTACCGGTACCTTACATCTCACTTTTCATGGGAGCGACTGGCAGCATCTCCTCACTCAGTCTCCCACTTCCCAGAATTCTCCTCTCTCCTTGTTCTGCCTATACTTCCTGCCTGGCTACTGGCCAATCAGTGTTTTATTTATTAACCAATCAGAGCAACACATTTAACATACAGAACATCCCACAGCAGAAGCAAGCTTTAATTAAGAAGAATTACACAAAAGTGAGAAATTGAGAAAAAATGAGAAATTAAGGAAAAATGAAACTTCAGAAAGAGGGAAGGACTTCCAAGGGGGGTAAAAACTATGGTGTGCCTTTGTTACAAGTTGTTATGGTTTCATGACAGAAATCTGACCAACGCTGAGGTCAGCTCTATTGAGACTGGCTAATTCTCTAGGCTACGGTGGGCCAGAGCCAATAGGGCATGTCTTTCTGCCCCAACCAAGGAAATGACCATGATCTCTGTTCATGGGGTGCTGACCCTGTTATGGATGGTTGAAGCCCTATGCTGTCTATGATTTCTAACTCCATCTTTGTCAGGTTTTCAGTCTGAAGCTGTCGGTCACTTGGTCTGAATTACTACCCTCTGACCTTTGCTGATGTCTCAGATGTTGCTAATTACATCAAGTTCTCTTTGTTCCTATATTTACATGATAAGCATGTAGCTTTACTGTGGAAAAGATTTAACTTGGTCACAAGTCAGTAAGATGGAGCTGCAGGCTTTCTTGGTTACCCCACATTTAGCTCTTTGCCTAAAGGGTGGTCGTCCCCTCAGCAAAAGCCTCTTGGGAGAAGCCATCATTTCTATTAATTTAAACTGTTGCCATCAGCTGCATTAGAAGCAAGAATATAAGAAAGGGCAATAGAACCTATGCATGTCCTTCACAGGCTTTGGGGATTTGGTGAGGGGGTAGCTGTCTTCCTGCCCAGACCTCTCTGTTCCTCTTCTTCTCATCTACTGAGCTTGGTCTCTTACTCATCTGCCTCAGGATTCCAAATACTCTCTTGTTAATCCTTAAGATTCCTTTTAACCCTAGCCTCTGTTCTTGCTGACATATGAACAATTTAGGAGTTTTCATCATGGCTACTTTCCTCTTACCTCCTGCTCCAGAGCCCCCTTGGTTCTTCCTGGCTAGAAAGAACTTTTGATTGGTAGTTACAAGGCACAATATAGTATTTGCAAGTCTCAGCTTCCAGGTCCAACTGTCAAGAGGGTTTTTCTACCCCACTTTTCCCCAGAGCACAGAAAACCCCTTATGATGATTTCACATCCAAGATGATGGTGGACATCACCTTCACACCTTTTCCATGCTGCTCCAAGCATTCAGGGCACCTTTCTTCAACCTCACCAGGTCCACTATGTCCATTCCACATAGCCGTTCCCTCCTTGACAGAACTCTAGTAGCCACAAGACAGAAACCAGGGTTTTCCTCTCCCATCATGGTGACATTGCATACACATGAGCCAGCTTCCTAAACATTTCTGCGTTAGCTCTGCCACATCAGGACTTTTGGAACTGGGAGACCACCCCAAAGGCACGCAACAAACCCCCTTCTCTGAAAGGTCCCCAGCACCCACCTCATTTTTAGGCATACCTTGGGACTTGATGCAGACGAATAGAGAACAAGGCTGGCTCTGAGGGTACCGCTGGGCAGACTTTCAGGGAACTCACATAAGTTCTCTCGCCTACCCCAGACAGTCTATAAGAACTGGCTCAATGTACAAGCAGAGTACATTGAGCCGGAGCTATCCAGTGCAACCCAAGGTATTGCAAGACAGAACTTAAATCAGGTTTTGAAGGCTAGGGAAGTTGCAGACTAGGAAGCATTGAGGAGACCTGGTTGCTTTAGGATAGGAAGATTCCCATCAGTTGCTGGAGGAAAGGGAGGCAGGGGTCCAGGAAACCTGCTCAGGAAATGCAGGTTAAGTTAATAATGAGCAGTGGACAAGTGTGCATGATCTCTGTGCTGTCTCCTCACTTCTAGAGCAGAGCAGGAGAGACTGCCCAACATCCTTTATGTACCTTCACCCAGCTCCCTCAAATATCCTGATGGTCCTTTCTAAATATCTACAAGCGGTATCAGGAGTCTGGGAAGCAACATGGTTTTTTTTTTTTTTTTTTTTTTTTTTCTGTTGCTTTTATTCTTGTGGTGGTGCTGGGGATTGAACCTAGGGCCTTGTGCATGCCAGGCTAGGGTTCTACAACTGGACTACATACTCAGTTGACTTTTAAAACAGCGTTAACGTTGGTTTTGCCCATTTTAGTAAGAGTAATACTATACCCATTAACTTTCCCTATGATGCATTACAACTAGAAACACTTCCATTTGAACCTGTTTCCAAACAAGAACATTCTTCTCACCTTTAAAGGATGGGTGGAGGGCCAGAGAAAAAATGAGGGACTATGAGCACCCTAGCATCACATCCCGACATCCTCCCACAAGCCCTTTCCACACCTGGGGACTCAACGAGACTCCTTAGTACCTTGCTACATCCAAGCACCTTTAGCCATCTGCCTCACTGAGCCCGCACCCACCTTCAGTGCTTCAGATGCCTGAACTGCCAGTACAGAGACTTTACTCCAGCCCTAGAACTGTCAAAGGGGCATGAGAAACGGCAAAAGGAACAGGCAGAGGGAACTGATGCTCAAGGCCATCCACACTGGCTCAGAAACTGTCCACTGTTGGGTGAGATCCAGGCAAAGTGAGCACCTGCCTTGCGATGGCTTTTCCCTCATGGATAGGGGCTTATATAGTCCACAGCTACTTAGAGGCGGAGCTTCCTTGCTCTCTCAACCAATGGTGAGTGAAACAGGGTGGAGTCCGAAAAGGGAGAGTGGGAGTGAAGTGGCGGGTTAGGGAAATGTATCTGTTTTCCATAGGGAACAAGAAACAGCTTCCTAAGCCAAAGATAGTGAAAACAACTTCTCTTGAGTGGAAATAACACCTAGAAACCTGATGTTATGGTGATATATTTGTAATCTAAGAAATAAAGCTTGCCTGAAGATCAGAGCCCAGGGCCAGCCATAGAGGTCAGGCAGTGGTAGCAACACACCTTTAATCCTAGCACTGGGGAGGCAGAAGCAAAGATCTTCTGGATCTCTGTGAGTTCAAGGCCACACTGGGCTACATGAGATTAATCCAGTCTAAAAGAGAAACAGAGCCAGGCAATGGTGGCACACACTTTTAATTCCAGCACTGGGAAGTTTGAAACAGGCAGTGATATGGCTGGGCAGAGAAAAGTATATAAAGCAGAAGGAGACAGGAACTCTGGCTCTTTCAGGCTGAGGAGTTGGCGAGGTAAGAGGTGGTGGCTGTGGCTTGCTCTGCTTCCCTGATCTTTCAGCTTTCACCCTGATATCTGGCTCTGAGTTTTTATTATAAGACCATTTAGGATTCGAGGAACAGATGTCTTGGACTTATCTTGTTCCTAAGGCCCTTTGACTTTTTGTGGATCGTGGTCAGAAACTCAGTTTAGAAGCATATTCTATCTTCACCACTCCCAAGCAAATGAACTCAGGCAAGGCATGGATCTGACTTACCTGAGATTCCATGTTGTTTAACTCAGGGTCTCATGTATTCCAGGTTGGCCTCAAACTCCCTTGTAGTTAAAGACAACCATACTTCTGATCCTCCTCCCTCTACCTCCCTAGTGTTGGCATTACAGGTGTGTGCTACCAATGTAGATTTATTTGGTACTGGTGATGGAAACCAGGGCCTCCTGCATACTAGGGAAGTATGCTACTCACTAAGCTACATTCACAGCCCATGAGATTCCATAACTTGATTTGTAAAATAAACAAACTTTTCATAGGACAGTATAATTCAATGTGACACAAAGTGTCTGGCAGCCAGTAAATGGAAGCTTGTTGGTATGAAGAGGATTAAGAAAGGCAATGCCATCTGCCTTGGGTACTCCCCATACCCACATACCTATAAATGACCTGGTGCATGCCCTAAAATTGTCCCACTGAAGGAAACAGTATCATCTCCCTATTTCATCTGTCCAGGTAACTTGAAATATTTTTGGTGTAGATAGTCTCTATAGTTACTAATAAACTTCAATTATCCTTTGAGTTTTTTTTTTTTTTCAGTTAAAGCACAATGGTTCTGGGTGCCTGGGACAGATAGGAGTGAGAGCTGTTAAACAAATTAGTTAATGACTCCCTCTCTAGGAAATTATCTGCTAGAATGATCTCTTCCATGATTTTTCTGGCACAACACGTTATCCCAAAAGATTACAAGTACTTTAGAAATGGAGGAAATGCTTTATTTCTCACCACCACAGCATGCCTAGGGAGGTCAGAGGACAAGCAGGAGTTGAGTAATAGTTCACTCCTTCCACTGTGCGGTCCAGGGATCCAACTCAGGTTGTCAATTCAGGGTCTGGCAAGCAGCTTTTCCAGCTGAGCTATTTTGCTGGCAATCGGTGAGAGCAGTTGCATCACTTCAAAACAACTCAAGAATGCCCGCAGTTCCTACCACTAACTTAGTTTTGTCTCTTGGTGGTACCACTGTCTAGTTAGTGAAACATAAGCCAGATGTTTTTGGCCTTGATGTAGATAGTAGTATCCAGGCATAGGTAAAGGTAAAGATGTAAATGCCCTCATTTAAAGATGAATGGATGGGTGGGTTGATGGTCCCAATGAGGTCTTGGGCATGCTAGTCAAGTGGTCTATCACTGAGCCACTTACAGTCATGAATACCATTCATAACCTAGTCTCCAGCATTGTTTTTATTTGATGAGTTTCCATTAAATTATTTCCTTGTACATTTTCTTTTAAATAATTCATATAACAAATAACAACTGTGATAGTTTTTATTGAATATGCCCTTAGGACATCAGAAAACTTAGATTTCTCTGAAACTTGCAGTTTCAAAATTAGGAAGTTTATGTGAAACACAAAGATCTTTTTTTCTTTAAGTGACCAAAGAATTAAAGTTATTTACTCAGAGATCGTTTGTTCCTCATCAGCAGGTATCCTATCCACCATGGGCTGCGCATCCATTGCCTCAACAAAGGCATTCTCACCGGGCTGCTCACCCAGCTGCTCAGGAGGAAGGAAGTATGGCTCCTCAGAAGGAAGGAAGGCTGACTGCTCGGGCGGAAGGAAGTTTGATGTTGGCCTTTCACCTAAGGCTATTTGATTGGGGTCCGCAGAAAAATCCATAGATTTAGATTTTGATTTTTTTGAGCTGGATCGTCTCAAGTCTGAAGAAGTGTTGCCCCAATATGAGCTGCTCTCTCCACTTTTCGAAAAAGATGTGTCAGATACCCCTTCTGAGGGGTGGAAGTAAGACAGATTGGCCAGCTCCGGGTTCACAGTGTATTGATTGCCATAACTTTTGTCCCTAGAAAGAAGAGAACACACATCAGGAGTTATCGTTAGTTGCATATACATGTAACTCAAATCAGAACAGTTAAAAACAGAAACAGAGTCTGTCCAATGTATTAATTAATGCAAAGGGTATAGTTTGTTTTTCATTGTAGTCGTATTGTATTTAATCCTCGTGTAAATGAACCACGAATGCCTGGTGTACACAGCCTGTCTCAAACGTCAATATTAGAATTTAAAAGCCAACAATAAAGATTGCCTTAAGTAATAAAGGCTTAACAAGAAACATAAAATGAAGCTGAATTAGAGAAAATAAACATTTAACATTACAGGTTTAATGGGTCGAAGAAGTACCTTATCAAAGCACCACAGTCAAAGAGTAAAATTAAAGGGAATGGAATGGTGAAGATTAAAAAGTAATCCTGTGGAGGGAGGTTTAAAGTAATTTATGATACTGTACAAAAAAAATGTTGTAAAGAGACCAGGCTCTCAGGTTCAATGGAAATATATATATACATACATATACATATATATATATACATATATATATTTAATTCTTTTTATTTATTCTTCTCTCATACAATATATCCCAACTGCAGCCTTCCCTCCCTCCACCACTCCTAGTTCTCCCCCACCTCCTCTTTCCCTTGGATCCACTGCTCCTCCATTTTCCTTCAGAAAAGAGCAGGCCTCCCAGGCACAGCAAGTGAACACAGCATAACCAGTGACAATAAGTCTAGGCATAACCCTTATATGAAGACTGGATGAGACAATCCAGTAGGAGGAAGAGGGTCCCAAGAGCAGGCAAAAGAGAGACACACCCAACTCACACTGTTAGGAGTCATATTTTTATAAGAAAAGATAAATGAATATTTAAGACAAATGTCTAGGCCTCAAGGCATAAAAGTGGCAGATTTTCTGTTTCTTTCAAGGTCTTAAGCAAGGCTACCAAAAATTTAAATGTTAAACCCCAAGCAAATGAGCTAATTAGAAGAGAATAAATGGCCTTTGTACTCCAGGGCTATTTTGTAGGAATGCAGAGGGAGGAAGCATTGTCTAAAGTCTCTATATCCTTCCTGATCAACTGTGACTTTATTTATGACTATTTAAACTACTGGGGGCAAATACAGTGAGACATTCTCAGAAACAGGGCTCACATTCCCAATGCATAGAGGAAGTAGATTTGAGCTGAATATCTTATCCATTACTGAGGAGGGTACATATTCCTATTAATCCACTAAAGAAGGGAGGGAGAGAGTATGATGCCACGGACTAGCATTGAAGACTGAAAAGGCCAGTAGGCTTACCTTAGGTGTTTCAGTTTACACAGTGTGGCAAAACAAAATATCAGGAGGGGAATTAAGAGGATAAGGGTCATCAGTGAGATTCCCAGCATTAATTTGAGCTTGATTTCCTCTAACTCTAACATTTTGTCTTCGTTGGTATTGTTCAAATCAGAGCCTGGGAGGAAAGAAACACAATACAGAAAACTGACTGTTGTGCATGTTTTCCTTGAGGAATAAGGATAACAGAAGATAACTGCAGCATTCACAGCTCACTCTTCCTACCCCAGACAATGGAAAAAAAAAAAAGGCCATTTTTCATCCACGTACACAGTTTTTCTCTCTAGTCTTCATAACAATCTTGGAGTAGCTGTGCTTAACTCCATTTTAGATACTCACAGAAGTTTGCAAATCTTCTACTAATCAAAATGTGCTTTTAAGCCCAAGGTACCCATGAAAACATTTTTATGGAGCAGCCTTTCTTCTTGGCTTTACTAGAAACCACTTTAAGTAGCTTATTGTCTCGGAAAAGGTAATTAGAACAATTTACAAGGTGCTGGTTCTTCTGAAAGGAAAGGTGTATGTCCTGTTGTTGGGCACACACTGGTTGTTCTTTTGAATTAAAAGTGTGTAGTATTGGTGGTTTCCTCTCTAAGGCTGAAGAGATAAGTTTGCAATTTTGTTACCAAGATGATTGAAGTTAGTGTGCTTAATATTACAAAAAGAAAGAGAAGTGACTTTTTAGACTTCGGAAGTGAGTTAAGTCACAAAATCATGGCTGGCTCCAGAGACATTAAGAATCTCATAAAATCTGATGAAGATGTTTCTTTACTGTCAGATTTTGGATGTTCATGAGAATACATCAGACAAAATATAGTTAATGTTGAAATTTCCCTTCTCACAGTGCTCCCACGACCACTCACAGTGTTTCAAGGGCCTTCGTGACTTTCTAGGTAATATGTAGGTAATATTCAATGACAGATCTAGACTCCCATGTCTTCTCTGACTTTTAAACATTTTAATTATTGTGCTTGGTATACAGCCCAGTAGAGCTCTCGCTAGCATGTTGAAAGGTCTAGGTTCCTAATACCAATAAAGAGTAAAAATTATATTATCCCAGTGTGATCTTAAAGCAAGTGGAATGGAATGTGTACAGCTGTCATTGACTGTTATCTGACTTTCAGACCCATTTGGGAATAATCAAGTAGATTATATTAAAATGAACTGCCCCCTTAAATGCACCTCTAGTTCCCAAAGCCTTTTTTCTCTTTCTTTCTTTCTTTCTTTCTTTCTTTCTTTCTTTCTTTCTTTCTTTCTTTCTTTCTTTCTTTCTTTCTTTCTTCCTTCCTTCCTTCCTTCCTTCCTTCCTTTCTTCTTCCTTCCTTCCTTCCTTCCTTCCTTCCTTCCTTCCTTCCTTCCTTCCTTCCTTCCTTCCTTCCTTCTTTCTTTCTTTTTTGAGACAGGATGTCATTGTGTAGCTCTGGTAATTCTGTGATGCCGGGCAGTGGTGGCACACGCCTTTAATCCCAGCACTCGGGAGGCAGAGGCAGGCGGATCTCTGTGAGTTCAAGGTCAGCCTGGGCTACAAAGTGAGATCCAGGACAGGCTCCAAAGCTACACAGAGAAACCCTGTCTCGAAAAACCAAAAAAAAAAAAAAAAAAAAAAAAAAAAATTAAATGAAAATAAAAAAATAAATAAATGGGTGTGTTCTTGGAGTTAACTCATAGAACCTCTAGTTGCTGTTTTGTCTCCCAGAAATCAAGCCATATTCCCTGTCTGAGAGAGAGAAGAGGGAGGAAGGGAGAGAGGGAGGGAGGGAGGGAGGGAGGGAGGGAGGGACAGAGAGAGGGGAGGAGAGAATTACAGAGAACTGCTGTGACCTTATAGCTCTCACTGAGTTCTCTCCCGACCCTTCTCTCTTCTCTGACAGCTAGGCCCAAGACAACCTTGTACTGTAGCTTTACTCTCTTGTCGAGAGCCTTTCTCTGTGTCAGGGGCCACATAGGCTAGGTCACACTAAGTTGATGGTATGGAAGTTTATCTTCTACTCAGTCCTAAACCTGTAATAGTCAGACACTCCAGATCTGAAGGAAGCTGATAGAACTAGACGGTCTAGCCCTTTTAAAGATCCTCATAGCTGCCTATGGCCATGATGTAGTATCTCTCTTGATATTCCAGGAACTGAAGGATCTATGTCCTTTCAAGGCCTTATCATGGCTACCTACTGATGGGCCATGATGCTATCTCTCCTAATTGCTTTTCACTTCAGGGTTTCCTCATGGCTGCCTAGGACTCTCCTAACAAAGGATATCTGACAGATAGTTTGCCTCAATCTCCTTTTTCTACAAATCCCTTACTCTTCCTAACACAGCACATTTATCAAAGTCAAGGTCAGAACCAGAGGAGGCTTTACAATGTATAAACACTAGAAGTTACAGGAAGTTAACTGCAGGTTTGGGCTGGCTTTTGCTTTATGCCTCAATTTCTTCATATAGGCTTGTTGGGAGAACTGGCATGATGTGGCTAAAACATCAGAATACATGCTTTATAGTGTGTCCTCAATAAATGGTAGAAAACCAGTCAACTCCAAGTTCAGTCACTTAAATGCTAAGTAGAGAGATGACAACCTATTTCTAAGGTGACTCACCACTGCCATTCCTGAATATAAATAAGACTCATTCCATTTTCTTAAAGTAGCTCAAGGCAAGGGCTACATTTTTCAAATAATTCATTACAGAACTGAGCAGACAGATATGCCACCAAATATATCTATTTTACAATTATTTACTTGTAGGACAAAGGGTGTGAGAAAAATTAAAACACTGCCTTTTAATATGATTTTCCACTGGTACCCAAGTCAGGAGGCTCACAACCACATGTAACTCCAGTTCCAGGGGATCTGACACCTTCTTCTGGCTTCCACAAGTACCTGCACATATGTGGTGCACACACACACACACACACACACACACAGACACATAAACAGACACACACACACACACACACACACACACACACACACACACACACACACAAAATCTTAACATCAAAAAAGTAGAAACCAAAGGAGGGTGGGATAAGAGAACTTTGTACTTTTTGCTATTGTTTTCTTTAAATTTAAAACCTTAAAGTAAAGCTTACTTTTAAAAGACTATATATATTATATGTATTATTCACTTACCTGTCTTAATCTGTTTCAACATTGTGAGTCAGAAGACAGGGAGATGATAATAGTCATTGGTAAAAGAGCAACAAGAATACTTGAGAAGTATAATTTGTCTAATGTAATCAATGTCCTCTTTGATATGGCATTAACCATCATTACACTTTCCCACATATACTCATTACCCTTTTTTATGAGAAATTGTTTCACAATGCAGTCACTAAAATTCAGGTGATATTTATGTATCTATTAATTGAAGTACTTTGTTCTTACCTGGAATTGGTTGAAAGAATTGATCTTTATCACCCATGTTCCCTGCTGATCCACTTATAGCTGTTAAAACAATATGTTGATGTTATAAGTAAGATTCACTTACTAAAATTTTTACATGTGTGTAAAGGTGTGTGTATATTATGTGAAGTCTGTTCTCATTATTCATTGTAGTATTGTTTTGTAAAGGGAACATCTCTATAACTCAGGTTCCAAGGAGCTCATCTGATACATGTGTATTTCCCATAGGGTCCATTATAGTATTTAGGGACATTAACAAACTATTTAACACTATGCTTAGAGGCCTGTAGCATGAATCTTAAAAGTTCTTATTAATAAAAACAAACCCATGGCCAGGTATTGGGGTGAACGCTGAAAGATCAGAGAAGCAGAACAAACCACAGCCACCTCACCTTTCCAATTCCTCAGCTGATCCTGTTTCCTCAGACTGGCAGCCTCTGAGTCCTCATCCAGAATGAATCTCAGCTGAACTGGGCTGCTCAAAAGCCTATAAGCTTAACAAGGCCTAGTTCCTTGTCCTCATGCCTTAAATACCTTTCTGCTTCCTGCCATCACTTCCTGGGATTAAAGGCTCTTGTTACCACGCCTGGCTGTTTCCAGTGTGGCCTTGAACTCACAGAGATCCAGACGGATCTCTACCTCTGAAATGCTAGGATTAAAGGTGTGTGTGCCACCATTTTCTGGCCTCTACATCTAGTGGCTGTTCTCTTCTGTGACCCCAGAAAAGTTTATTAGGGTGCACGATATATTGGGGAACACAATATCACCACAGAGGCCAGTTCAAGGTATGACTGTCAGGCAACTAAAAATATTTGAAATTGTGTCAATATCGACAAATGATCTTGAAGGTTCTACAAATATTGATTTTAGGTTAACAGAGATCTTAGTCTTGAGTAGGTAATACTGAATGTAAATACACAATATGCAAATAATAATGGTTGAGTGAATATGATGTATATTTCATTTTTATAATGTATATGTATATGACAAATTCATTACATATCTTAATACATATGTCTATATCTGCACAAACTATATGAATGCATAGGTTGATCTATGTATTGTGCTGTGCATGTATACTTGTGTGTTCATGCTATACACATTACTTTCATGCACAAATATGTACTGGTACTTTGCACTTACATGTGCATCACTTAGATGTGCATCTCTGTGTGTTTATACACATGCTGCCCCAAACATGGAGGGACTATACTGGGCAAAAACTTTGCTTAAAATGCTGGATCATGCACTTAGTTGAAGGTTTTTTTTATCTGGGCTTATCTGTTTCTCAAGTCAAAGCTATAAAACAGGAAGACTGTGATAGTTACTTACAACACAAGGACAAGAAAACCAGCTCCCCTATACCAGCAAATGTCCTCTGTGATTTTAAGATACACTTGAGACTATAACATTTGTTGGAGGATATACTTCTGGATGCAAAAGAATCGGAAACTGCAGCTTTATCATTTCTCTGCACATTACATTTGCTATTACAAGGGGCAACAAACATGAACTTATTAATTATTGTTAGAAATATTTAGACCAGTCTTGTCTTTCTTATATAAAATATCAGATAATTAATATAAATAGAAATGTTAGAAACATTTTCCCAGTTACCTAACTGCATGAATTTACCTTTTGCTAACATTGTCCAAAATGCAGGCACATTGGGGGTTGATGCTGTTCAAAAGAGATGACATGGGTAACAGGTGAGAATCTATTGTCTACAATTATGTGCTCCCTCAAAAACTTTAGGAGAGTTATACTGGATTGTTATGGCTCCACAAATACTTTATAAGGAACAATGATCTTGGCAAGAAAATAAAATGGTGATTTTGAATATGCAGCCTCCCACTCCTAAGACCCTCCCTCAAATAATCCTAGGAAACATTAATTGCTGTGACTCGAGATACATTTCTTCCTTAATCAAGTAGAAAATTTTACATTCTCATCAAAAATATTAAAATATACCCCATATATTTGTTGTAGATACATTTATAAATGTATTATATATATATATGTTTATTTAAATATTTAACAGTTCAGTTCCTATAGCTGGTCAGGTACCTCTGAAAATGGACTCTTACATATTTGCCATTTAAAAGACTCCAGGATGGCTCTAAATGATAGTGGTATGGATTCTTTAGGCATGCTATTCACTTATGTCATGTTCAGAGCAGTGAAAGCTCATTGCCTAAGTTATAGAATAACATGCTCCAGATATCAATACAGTGTAGTAGTTTTAGTACTTGGAATATTTTTACGCAAGTGTTCATAAGGTTTTGCTTCTTCACCGGCAGATGTTTTAGCTGTAGTTGCACTGACGAGTTTATCTAGGAAAAGAGATAAAGTATTTTCAACATATTAAAACATTGGCCAAATGTCTGGGGTTTCCGTATTTTAAGACTACAAATGGAACAAAGACAAGGGGAGAAGAGAGGAGAGAGAATGGCATTTTTATCAGAAATGAAGAGTAGGAAGGAAAGCAACGGAGAAGAGTGTTTTTGTGATTACGGGCTGCCTGAAATAGGACTAATACGTCTGTGCTCTGTGAAAGAGAAGAAAAGCTTGGAACCCAGGCCTTTAGAGGTAATGATGAGCTATTGGCTAAGATGGCTGGCTTACGAGGCTCCCTACACAGGCCTTAGTATAAACCTCAGCCTACAATGTGTCGATGTGGTCACATCACTGAATGTTTCAGCTGTATCAGATAACTTAATAAACAAAACAAAACAAAACAAAACAAAAAAACAGTAGCATAAGTTCCATATGGGATACTACCCCACTAAAGGGGAATTTCTACGGAGTGGCAGAATGAATCCACAGAGCCTACAAATCCATCACAGGTATCCTGTTAATAAGAAAGGGTAGAAAATAAATATTCAGACAGAACTCAAAACAGGTGAAAAGTCCAAGCTACAATGCAACCATTTATTCCTACATCCAGGTGCCTCAGTTTACCCCACTCTCCATGGAGCATTAGAGACTATGCTGAAGCAATTTATCATTAGTGAAAGAGCTATCCTGGGGCTCTTCTATCTTGATAGGCTAGCTCTTCTGGAACGTTCCTACAACGCCCACATGTAGAAGGCACAAAGTTTTATTCATTCCAATTTTGTTGACAATCTTCTAGTTGTGGGGTAGGAATCTATGGTTTTGGAATCTCTTCTTTGGGTACTATGGTTTTCAGTAATTCATTTTTTTTTGGAAATTTAATGTGTCTGGGGTGCTTAAGAGTCAGCTAACTGTAACTTTCCCCACACAACTCAAGATGTTTGCTCTACACAAGCAAGATGCTCCTGGTAGTTTAACTAAGTTTGTCCTAAAAGTGTGACTGGCACAAGGCTTGGAACTGCCCAAATTCTCCATTACTGTCAAGTAAATTTATTAATAATGAGGCATTAATGAGCCTGTCCCAGTGTCAAAATTGCCATAGCCAGAAAGAGTCACTTTTTGCTATTTCACACCATTCAAAGTATAAAAGAGAAAAACACCCACAAATATGGGTTTAATAAAGATGAGCAATAGCCTGGAATCCTAACTTTAGTTAATGTTTCTTTCCATGCAAACTGGAAAACAGAATTGAGAGACTCTGTCTGCTTCCTCTGTAATGGTGACTGGAATGCTCATAGTGCTTCACAAAAAAAAATTGTTGTGGAAGAAAATTTAGGAAAAACAAAAACAGGAGATGACATAACTCTGGTGGTGCCTAGAAGCACAAGATGGACTCTAGAGGAGAACCATAGGCCTCACCCCTGTCCCTGGTCTGTTCTGGAATCCCGCCCTAAGGGATTTGCCTGTGGAGCTGTGGACTGTGCATTTAGTACTCACAGTTCTTCAGCACAAACTTCAGGTCAGTTGTGGCACTCACAGAGATTTCAGAGTCTGTGCCATTTGGATTATGTGTGGTGAACACATCTACAAACAGAAAATCAGAAGTCTTTAGCAACCAGTAATCACTGCTTGTCCGTTACATTTTTTTCATCATATTTTTAAACTTTAAAAAGTATCCACTGACTAATGAAAAAATAATTATAAACAACAAAAAATATGAGACTTTTTCAAAGGAAGGGGAGTAAGGAGCAAGCTGAAAATTCATAAGGAAAAAAGTCAAACTAATTTTCTTATGATACATAACTGTGAGAAACAATTAAGGAAATTCATGGAAAATATGTATATGGCTATAAGATGCCAAAATGAATTTGTAGGCAAAATATCACTAAATCTTAACCTCAGTACATCAGAAAATGAGACAGGATTAGAGATAGGGTTGCTGAGCTTATAATCCAGTTAAAACCAGATTGGAGGAGGGTGTGCTCCTAGCTGGATCTGTCTCATACAAGAGGGGAGTCTGCAGGAAGAAACGAGGAGAATAGGACACGAAGAGGGTGAGGCACAAACTGCTGCTGCCACAAGCCAAGACACACCTGAGCCACCAGAAGCTGAAGGAAGGAACGGTTCTCAACCTTTGGCTTTGGATGGAGCACTTACTTGATTGGTTCTACTTTGATTTTTGACTTCCAGCCTCTAGAACTATAGGAAACTAGTTTTCTGTTGTCTTTATCCTCCTAATCTGTGGCATTTTTGTTTCAGCAGCGTTAAGAAATGGATCCACGCCTCAAAATAAGTTTGGGCTGACTTACCATCAAATAGACCAGTTTTTACTAAAGGAAGTATCACGATGCCAGGATGAACCACAGTAGACAGAAATAGCAGCAAAGATAACCTTGTAAAATTTCATAACACTTCATGAAAAAAAGTTGTAAGAAATAAGGCTTTGTTTACACACTGAAATGCCTACAAAGTAAATTAGAATTTCAAAACTGGGAAATAATATGGTGATGAGAGATTATAAGGCAGGATTAAGGAAAATCAAACCAGTGTAATCAGTCATACATATGCTATTAACTTAAAACACTTACATTGTTTTATGTCTTTATAGTAATTGCCAGTTTTCTCATTAGCAGGAGTATCTTCTTCATTTTCTTCTGATTTATGTATAACATGAGTATCATCTATATTTTCATGTGCAGGAGGAGCACTATTAGCCAGATTTTCATCATCTGAATAATACTGTTCTTCATCTGAAGGCATCACCTCAGGGTTCCCTGAAAAACAAAACATGACACAGAATGGAATAAAATATGTTAATTTTCTTTACTGCTTTCTCTCACTGAAATTTTTTCACAATTAGAGATTGAGATTTAAAAGTTAAATTATATTGCATCTTCAACTTTCAATCATCCTGCAGAAAACTGCCATATGCTGACTTTCTGTGATTGAGAATCAACCTTCTGATTGACTAATTTTAAATGTTTACTTACGTTCCACATTGGACTGTAGATTGCTAAAGTTTGGGATGAAAACCACAAATAAAAAGATAAACAATATAAAATTCATTGGGAAATTAATGTGATTTATCCAGCAATCTACTGTCTCCTCAGGGCTTCCTTCTTGTGGCTCAGCAGGACCTAAGACTCAGTAGGACATTATGACATCACTGTTTATGGGAAACAGAATGCCAGAGAAATGCCCAGAACTTGGTGACTCTATTGACCATTTCATTTTTGGTGTTACGATGATTTTAGTTTTTAAAAATAAACACTTCTTTCTTTGAAAGATAACAAATGTGTTTTCATAAAATAATGTTAGTTATTGGTCCATGAATTATAAATAATCAATCTTGTTGATAATGACATAAAAACCTTTGGAGCTTAGGGTTTTGTTTCTAACGACATCAGATCTGTCAGAGTGCTGCAATCTGCTAAAAACAACAACAACAACAACAACAACAAAACAAAACAAAACGAAAATCTAGTCAGAGAAAGCAAAACTCAAAACAATCCAAATAGCCTCTAAGTTCTCATTCATAAACTATTTGACTGTAATTCTTTAAGGAAAGTTTTATGAAACATCTTTTTTATTTTAAGAATTATTTTCTTCATAAGATGTAACATATTTGTTTTGTTTAATACATGTTTTTCAATAAGGTCCAACTTCTACTTCACATTTCAATTGAGAAAATTATCTCATACTTAGCTAGTTGAAAGGTGACTCCAGTGTGTATATATATATAGCCTTGTACATGGATTACTTACATAATAACAATGATTGACATTATTATAGTCACCTAACTTTGAAGTATGCTAACTTCAATTATTATTGATGATAACCTTTCCACATCAGATGATACTCATACTTACAACATAAGCGTCAGGAAAAACAGCATAGCATCACAGGGCTTTATGTTTGTCTTCAGTGAAGGGGAAGGGCATAAGTGAAGTACAACCCGTGGTCCTTTGCTGATGGTGCCTGGTGATGTGGAGGGCAGGCTCAGCAGAGTTTGGTTTCTTATGAGGGTAAGAGAAGCAGAGATAGTGTGTCCAAAGGAGAGATGGAAAAGCAAGCCAAGCTCTTGACCAAGGTCTCAGTCAACCAACGGAAAATGATTCCACAGTTAGCCCTGGACTCTCCCAGTTATCTCAAGTAAGAACCAGAAGGTGGAAAAGACTGAGCTGGCTCGTCTCTAGAACCCTTTCCTCTAGTGCAGTGTTTCTCAGCCTGGGGGGTCGTGAGTCTTTGGGGGGATCAAATGACCCATCAGATATCCTGCATGTAAGATATTATGTTATGATTCATAACAGTAGTAAAACTACAGTTAGGGAGTAGCAATGAAATAATTTTATGCTTTGGGGTCACTACAACCTGAGGAACTGTGTTTAAAGGGTCACAGCATCAGGAAGGTTGAGACGCACTGTTCTAGTGTCTCTCTAACTGGTTCAACAGAGGAAATCAGAGAATCAGGAAGCAAACATGCCTCCTGTTGCTGCAAGCCATCAAACACCTTTGGATGATGCAACTAACCTACGGTGAAATTTGACGGACATACTGATGGGGTGTGTGTGGATCATAATAGGATCATATTATACCTGGTGGTATAGAGGAGACAGCTGGAGAAACATGTTTACCCAAATCTACACACTTCTTGGCAGGCAGCAAGTGAAATATGAAACAATGCAGCATTGTATGTAGTTCAGGAATCCCTAAATACCAAAAGTCAGCTTGGCATTTTGGGGGCACAAATAGAATTTTCTTTGTTGTTTCATTATCTTGCTCTCCACTGAGTCCTGGGTTAACTGTTTTTTGTTTTGTTTTGGTTTTGGTTTTTTTTTTTTTTTTTTGAGACAGGTTCTCTCTACATAGCCTTGGCTGTTCTAGAATTTATGTAGACCAGGCTGGCTTCAAACTCACAGAGGCCCACCTGCCTCTGCCTCCGGAGTACTGCCCTTTTTATTTTCTGATTTGACATATACTTTCCATAGGTAACTGAGTTGATAGAATGCAAATAGAAGTTATAGAGATAAGACTTCATGAAACTAAGATTGCTTAATTTCCTCTTTCTCAGGATCAGTACTATTTCTAGAATATATTGATGGATGTTGTAGATTTAATTGTATCTGCCTCAAATTTGTATGTTGAAGTCCAAACTCTGAGCATTTCAAAACATGGCCAAGATTAGAGCTGAGATTACTAGAGGGGTGGGATATGGAAATTCTGGGGGATCATGGTCTGCAAGAGCCCATGGGTGAGTTGGATAACAGTTATCAAGAGAGGTTATGACACTGAAAATCTCTACTTTCAGTAGCTAAGTGAAATAGGAAATTTTACAAAAGAGAAAAGCAAAGTGCAGAGTCCCTCTGGAAGGTATTGGTGAAGTCTAAGGACCTCTCCCCTCCCAGGGTGGAGTACAATTTCAGTGTTTTAAAGGGCAGAGGATGAAGGTGGGTAGACACAAAAGTTGTAGCAGTGACAGGTTAGGAGAGGGAGTGCTGGAAGTCTCTCTTTTGAGCGTTTGGTTGGAGCAGTCATGGGAAGTCTGTCTATCTCTATCTATCTATCTATCTATCTATCTATCTATCTATCTATCTATCTGTCTGTCTGTCTGTCTGTCTGTCTGTCTGTCTATCTATCTATCTATCTATCTATCTATCTATCTATCTATCTATCTATCTATCTATCTACCTACCTACCTATCATCTATCTACCTACCTATCATTTATCAATCTATCTATCTATCTACAGTTTTTTTTTCTTGTATTAGAAAGGAACTCACTATGTAGTCCCGGCTGGCCTGTAACTTGCTATGTAGAACAGGCTGGCCTAAGCTCACAGAGACCTGCCTGCTTCCAGTAATGCTGAATTCAAAAGTGTATACTCCCACATTCATGCTGAGTCAGCACCCTAGCTACTCCCTGAACCACGTTCTCTGGGACCCCAGAACAAGTGTTGTGGGACTATATGCTGGGGCTTGAGCAGCAGAGAACCTCCTGACTGTGAGAAAACTAAACCCTGAATTATCTAGTGAGTTGAAAACTGGTAAGAATCAGCATCTATGTGGCAACGAACACAAGTTCAAGGTGTGCGCACCTGATACTAAGACGGAACACCCAGTGGCATGGTCAGCATTCACATATGACCTATGAAGGAGCATCCAGAGGTATGACCAGCATTTGTGACCGGACTGACCCATGAAGGCTGTGTTTCCAAAGTCTGTTCCATTGAACTCTAGTACAGTGAAGTAGCCTACAGAAATTTCGCTTGCATAATCAACTGGTTTGGAAAACACGTGCTGTAATGCCTTCCTTTAGACAGCCGTGGCAATGTTAGTCTAAAGGCTCAAAACAAACTCCAGCAAGAAACCCTTTAAGACATTTCCATTTCAAATGTTAACCAGCTTTTTTTTTTCACAACAAACCAGTGCAATAAGAACATTCGCAAGTAGACCACCATGTTGACTAAGAGCGCTCAGCAAGAATAGAGATGAATATGTTGACTTTGTCAGGTTGACTTTCCAGTGGGTTTTTAAAAACTTGTGTGTGCACATGTGCATGTGGTGTGCATGCATCTCTGTGCACAAGCATGTTCTCTCTCCTCCTTCATCACAATCTCTTCTTCTCTCTTCCTTCCTTCCCCTCTATGCCTCCTTTCTCTCCACTCTCTCTTACTTTCTCTTCTTTCCCCCTCTCCCCATCTTTCTTTCCCCTCTTCCCTCCCTCCTCCTCCTCTCATGCATCTCTCCTCTCTCTTCCCTCTCTCCCTCTCCATCCTCCCCTCCCACCATCACTTTCTCTCCTTTATCTCACATCTTCCTCTCTCTCCTCTCTAACTCTTCACTCTCCCCTACCTCTCCCCTCTCTTCCGCTCTCATGTTTTCACCTCACTCCTCACTTTCTGTCCCTCTGTACTCCCTTTTCTTTCCCCTCTCTCACACACACTCCTACCTCTCCTCAGTCCTCCCTTTCCCCCTTTCCCTCCCACTCTCTTCTCCAGCCTCTCACTCCTCTTCAGCTCTCACTGTGTTCTCTATTATCTTCCTATACCCTTGTCCTCACCCCCTCTCTCTCTTCTCCCTCTCCTTTCTGTTTCAGCTCTCTCACTTAGATCTTACTCTTCCATTTCTCTTCTCCTGTTTGTCTCCTCTCCTTTCTTTCCTGTCCTCCCTTTCTCCCCTCTCTCTTTCTGTCTCCTACATCTCTCTCTCTCTTGTTTCTCCTCGCTCACTGCTATCTCTTCTCTCTCTTCTCTCCTTCATTTGTCACTCTTTCTCTCTCCCCCTCTCTCTAACGTGCATTAGCAACATAGCAGGAGGATGTACTTGCACAGGTCTGCAAATACCTGAAGTAGAACAGCAGGTCACGTTTATAGAATAGTGCAGTTCCTTGTGATACACAAATACACAATGCAAATAGATGTTATGGTACAGCAGCAATAATGAGAAAGAAAGAGAGAAGGGAGAGAGGAAAGAGAGAACACGAGTATGAAGAAGGTCACGGAGGAGAGAGAAAAAGAGAAAGGGAACACAGAGAGGGGATCATGAGAGGAGAGTAATGTGGGAGTGTGGGATAGAGACAGGAGGTGGGGAGAGAGGTGTAAATGGATTTTTCTTTGGGCCACCAGCTCACAAGAAATGACACGGAGACTTATTATTAATTATGAAAGCTCTACCTATAGCTTAGGCTTGTCCTATTGGCTCTTATAACTTAAAATAATCCATTTCTAGTCATCTACATGTTGCCACATGACTCATGGCTTTTACTTCTCCTCCTGCCTGTCTTCTCCCTCTGCCTCCACTGGTGACTCCTCCTTTCTTCTCCTCCATGCGCTCTGTCCCCAGAAGTCCCGCCTAACCTCTTCCTGCCTAGTTAATGGCCATTCCGCTCTTTATTAAACCAATCACAGTGACACATCTTCACACAGTGTAAAGGAATATTCCACAACAGAGAGGAGTGAAAGAGAGGAGATGGAGGAGAGGGGAAAGAAAGAAGGGGAGAGAGACAAATGAGACAGAGAAGAGACAGGGAGAGAAAGAGAGGAAAGAGGGAGGAGAGATGAAGTCAAGAAAGAGAAGAGAGGAGTGAGGAAGAAGAGGAAGGAGGCAAAGAGACAAGAGAGATGAGACAG